ATATATTTAAATACATTATAGTAATGTTCTTTAAATTCAATTCATTATACTATCGCAGACACTAGAGTCATAAAATCCCCTATTAATATATTAAAATATGAAATTCCTATTTTTCAAAAAATTTTATTCTTGAATTGTATTATTTTTTTTGAATAATTATATATATTTCACAATATTTTTTTCTATGTAGAATGCAGATGAAATTATTTAGAAATTGATTAATTTATTAGGACACACGCGACGCACAACTAAAACATTATTATATATGTGTAACTCTCACGCCTTCATATATGTATGACGTCATATTTGTTAGTACCCATATGCCTACCTACCTACTTGCTTTGCCTGACTACCTACGCGAGACTGTCAAAGTCACAAAGAAAAAAAAAAGAAAAAAAAGAAATTACCCGAACCGGTCTCGACAGGGTCAACCCCCGTAACATTCGTCGAGAAACAACCATCAACCAACTTTGATATATATTTAAAAATTAACTGTATTATAGACAACTATTTACGTTTTGTTTTTTTTTTAACTTCTGAATCATTTATTTAAATTTTTTACATTTAAATTAGAAATCACGTTAAATAATATTAATTGAAAATTATTTCCAAGTATTTAAATCGAAGCGATTATGGAATTATTTTTATACCTGCGTCCCGAGCTATGTTTACATTTAAGTACAAAGGGTATATTAGGCCGAAGGTTATAAAAATTCCAAAGATAATCAAATCAGTTGCAATTCGTGAATTGACCTGTTCGGACGTGGTTAAAACTGTTGTCCAAAGTAAAAAAAAAAGCCGTAAACAACAATGTTTTTATTGTTAATTATATACTTTTTTTATTTTGGAAGGCAGAAAATTAGTGTAAATTTTTTTTCTTTTAAAATCAGTGTTAAAAATATATTTTCTTCATTGTTTTGAAAGTAATTAACTTCGGGAGTGATTTTAACTCGCGAACGAAAACATTTAAAAAGAAATTTTTATCGCCTTAGTAAAAATTTTTGTCCCGGGAGTATTTGAAATATTTAAAACCGCGATCTAACTCTTCTTTTGTTTTATTTATTTTTAATTCGGAAGTGTTCGAAGTATTGTCAATTATATACTTTTTTTACTTTGTAAGGCAGAAAATTAGTGTAAATTTTTTTTCTTTTAAAATCAGTGTTAAAAATATATTTTCTTCATTGTTTTAAAAGTAATTGACTTCGAAATATTTAAAACCGCGATCAAACTCTTCTTTTATTTTATTTTTAATTCGGCAGTGTTCGAAGTATTTTAAATTGCGTGTTTTCATCATCCGAATACATTAGTTGCAGATTAAGGTTAGATATATGTATTTTTTTGTTTAATAAATAATAATGAAATTCTGCTACATTGTCAAAAAAAATTTATTTGATTCAAATATGTAATCGGTTATTTGACTGTTTCCAAATAAATATTTATTTGTACACGGAAAAAAATATAAAGTAACTTTTACTACTTCCTTAGTAAAATCTGAACTGTCCGGAACTTCTGCGCATTTCTTTTTGCTTCGAATATAGAAAAAATTACTATACTAAAATAGTAAAGTTTACACCGGAAATAGTTTTCACTATTTACAGAGTAAAAATTTGCCAGTAATTTCGGACGCAGTTCTGATTTTACGGAAATAGTAAAAATTACTTTATTTTTGTTTTCCATTTTTCTCCGTGTATTAAATAATTTAAATAATTTTTATTTGAATTAAATAAACTGGTATTTGAATAAATAATTTTTGTATTTGAAATAAATATATTTTGATACAAATTAATATACTTAACCAAGTATACTTAACAAAAACCTACTTAACAAAAACCTACTTAACAAATATCTACTTTACAAGTACATATAGTTAACGAAGGTAAATATTTATTTAATAACAGTAAAGTAAACCGATCACTTGAATGAAATAAATTTTCTTTTCATTTGCAAAAAATTATAAAATATAAAGAAATTGATAAATGATAAATCAAAAGCGATAATAATTGATGGAAGATTCAATAATTGACACCAGTAGCAAATAACCAATGGTTTCGCATTGCAAGGTTGTTGGTTATCTCGTTTTACCAACCATAAGCTTTTACTGACACGCGACCCACACACTCGGCGCACGACTCGTTCTTTCCTTTTTTTTCTCTCTCTCTCTCTCTCCCCTCCTCCTTTTATCTTCTATCTCACCTCTTTTCTCTTTCTCTCATTGAATGTTCCTTAACGGAAATAAGATACGCGCCTGATACGCCTGCGTTTAAAAAGATTACGTGTGTTCGCTAGCTGTACGTAGAAGTTGGTCGATGATGTCATTTCAATAGCTATAAAGTGGCATGTACACTCGCAGGTGATGGACCTGTGGACTATCGTTCAGAAATGGCTGTGTGACGTGATTACTGCTATGATTGTTACTATTAAACGTTCACGCAAACTTGCTATTTTTAACGCTGCGTCTTAGATTGTATTGCTCATGGTCTTTATACACTTTTTATTCTAATTGTTTTTATTGAGAAATAGAAGAACAAAAAGAGGAGAGAAATTTTATTTTAAAACATTTTGTAATATATATATTTATTTAAATATTATTTCGAATTCCCAGTGGATCGAATTTTATCACTCTCTAAATCTAAATTAGTAAAAATGTTTACTAATTTAAATTAGTGACTCACTTTTTGCTTTATACTCAGAAAAAAGATATGTTTGAACCAAATGTACCATTTTTTTTATATTTACCCAATTTTTTGGTTAGTTCAAAACAAAATTTGTTTAATTCAAATAAATATTTATTTGATCTAAATAACTGTTTGGTTTATTTTAATAAATTTTTTGAACAAAGAAAAAATTTGATTGAGCTAAATAAACGTTTCACTGAAAAAAAATTCTAGTTAGAATAACCAGAATTCTGGTTAGGGTATATTTAACATTTTGATTCTGGTTAGGTTAACCAGAATTCTGGTTATTTTAACGAGAATTCTAGTTAATTCAACTAGAATTCTGGTTAACATAACTAGAAAGTAATGTTAAATATAGCCTAACCAGAATTTTTTTTTCAGTGTTGGTTCATGCAACCAAATGTTTGGTTAACTGTATATCAATGCATTTATTTTGTTGATTTAACCAAAATTTTGTTTGCTTCAAACGAATTTTTTTCTGAGTGTAGAATTAGTTAAATTTTACTAATAATTAGTAATAGTTTACTAATTGAGAAGCAAAAAGTAAGTCACTAATTCAAATTAGTAAACTGTTTTTACTAATTCAGATTTAGAGAGCAACTCCGATTTAGTAGAATTGTATACAAAAGAACGTATTTATATTTAAAGGGACTTGTATCGAACAATTGAAGAAACGGACATGAATTTGTCCGAAATGTTTCCGAAATATTAATTTTACTTTAGTTTTTTCAATTATCAGTTTTTAAATTCAGAAATGTTTGTTCGAACAAATAAAAGTAGAATCAAAATCATTAAAATTAAATAATTAGATTATTAATAATATGGTTGGAAATAAATTCGAATTATATACAAGAATCAAATTTTTTTTTTTTTTTAGAATTTTAACTATGTTGTAATTTGGTTTATCTCATGGGGTTCTCTTGATCAATTTTTAAATACTTAATCACGCGTTCGCGAATCCTCTAAATAACTCTTGACGAACATGATGGAACGAGGAAGAATTCTACCCCCTGTTAGTATTCGGTGATTCTCCGAAGCGTATGGAATAAAAAAAAAAAAAAGGAGAAACAAGAATGAGAGATGAGAAGAAATGAAGAATAAGAGAAGACCTCGGAACAACCGTTGTTTCTTGTAAGGGTGAAGGCCTCTCTTTTATAATTTCATCTTAAAAGGAATCTCTTGACTAATTTCTGATCATAACTTCCATCATTAGGGAATTTTTTTTTTGTAGCGGTATTTTTTTTCCAAATAAGGTTCAAGTAGATTTGAATCTTCAAATAGATGTATCTATATATAATAATTGTGATACTTTTTTTTTTTTTTTTGATAAGAAAAACCCTTTCGTAAAGAAAAGAGTGCGGGCGACGACGAAGAATCGTGAAAGCATTAAAGATTTATTTGCCCGAATTCCGACGGGCGGTCCAATGCCAAAGAATGCATTTCGTATTCGAAGATCCCTTCAGAGAATATGCCTCCGGTTGTGAACTCCTTTCTTTTCCAAATTGCAACCGGTTTGTTATTGTTTTCGTGATCGTTCAAGATCTTTTTTTTTTTTTTTTATCCTTTTACCAGAATTACATTCTGGTTGGAAGTTACTGTGCGCTTCCCATTCGCATTAATTTTACTTTTGTACCTTGTTAGGTTCAGTTGCGCGCAACAGAAGCCTTTGGATATATGGACATTGAACTCCAAAGCGCATGTATTATGCATATATTCAACCATTTTTTTTTTACTTCTTTTATCAAAAAGTACATATATTCTTATAGGTCAGTTTTCCGTGCTGAAAATTATGATTTTTTTTTCCGAGAAAATCGGTTTTGATAATTAAGGGTAATGATTTGATTTTTTTGTTTGCTTTGAGAAATATATATATACTACCCCCCTCTCGGCCTTGAACAGGATTTGAACTGTGATCACGAAAGCAAGGCACGCGTTTCACCATAACGAGGTCCACCGGTTATACAGTTTTACTTCTCGTAGATAAACCCACCATGATGAAGAACTGAAGAAAGGGGAGACTGTATAGTGGTGCGATTAAGAGGGGATGGTTACGAGATGGCACTCTCAAGTCGACGCGACGTTTAAATTAGGAATGCGTGAAAGAAATCGGCTAGCCAGCATTCCTTAAGAACTTGGGGGATATTGCAAACCTATTGGTCGATTCTTGCCAAAGACCATTAGTCCTTATGCGGTTGAAATAATTTTTTTTCGTCCCATTTTTTAACAAAAATTTCTGATGGTGTCCATTTAAATTCATTCCACTTCATTGAAGTTTATAATTTCTATTCTAATTTTAATTTTTTTTTTTTATTTATTTATTTGCAGAGTCTGGCCACAGGTTGGACAGCGGATCTCCGTTTTGGAGAATTCAATTAGATCAAGATCTCCTTGATACGATTAGTGCAATTTATCCTGAGTGGTTTAAGGTAAATTTTTACTACAAAAATATTTTTGCGATTTGTGAAATAATAACGACATTTTTTTTTCTAGGATTACACAAATTCGAATGCATCGACATCGACTTCCAGTTTGAATAATGGAACATCGGGAACATTAACTGGAAACTCCGACATCATCATTGAGCAGAAGCCACACAAGATTGGTAAAAGTGATTCAAAATCAAAATCAAAAAAATCTCATTTCAAAGACAGAGAGAGGGAGAAAAAGGACCGAAACGATTTTCGAGTTGAGAAGTATATAATTTGACAAATATTGTTTTTTTCGATCAAAAATCTGTAATTTTTATTTTATTTCCTCTTAAAACGATATACTTTGATTTAAATATAGAAATCATTCCACGAACTCCGGAATTGACAATATCAATAAGAAAGGAGCAAGACTTTATTTGCAACGGGAGAAAACAGTGGAAGTAGTGGCTACTGCTGAAGAAGCAGCAAAAGCCACGAGTGTCCAAGGATCCGGAGCAGCAGAGGGAAAAGCAGGAACAGGATCAGGATTGAAATCCGAGATGGCGGAGGGCAATCAGTCGCCGCCAAAGGCAGAGGTCGACGACTCTCCACTTCAACACTCCATGGATCGTAACAAGGAATGTAAGTACTCTAGATTTTTTCATAATATCTGAAAATGCTCTATCATATATATATATGATATAGAGAACGTTCCATAATCAGTTGAGATTTCTTCTGTTTTCAAATTCCGCAAAGGATTCGTTCATATTTCTTATTTATTTATTACATTCCCCGCAGTCCTTAGGGACCATAAATGGGTAACTAAATTTCTAATCAAAATATACAAAAGTATGCAAAACAGTATGCAATTAATCTTCGCGCAACGAAATGATATAATCGTTTAAAATATTAAGAAAACGTGATTGAGATGTAGCAAATAAGTCAAGATCTGGTTTCATGGTTGTAAACATTTGGTTAACATGGAAACACGCAAAAAATATAGGGGCACAGAAGTCTCTCGACGTATTAACAATTGCCAGTTGAAAAGGTCTAACGTCTCTTGATGATAGTCGAGGTACTCTGAATGCTATCTCATTGAGTAAAAATGGTGAATTAATTTGATTATGGAGTATTTTGAAAAGGAAATAAGGAAAAAAGTAAGGAAATATAAGGAATTCCTTATATTTTCAAAAAGAAAATTGATAAATTAGGATCGATTCATTTTTTTTTAAATTAATTTTGTTGCATATTATTTTTTTTAATGGGGTAATATTTATATTGCATTACGTGATTTTTAATCAAAAGTTCTTTTTTTTTAATGAGAATTTTATGATTTAGGGAAAAAAGTGACAAAATTTATTTCATTTAAAGCATAAGAAATTTAATACTTGCATTAACGAACTCTTGATGCAAAAGTTTCAAATGAGCCATCAGTATCATATTCCTTATTTCGCAATATGTTTTTACGAATCGATCAAAAATTTTTTTTTTTAGGTCAGATTTATCAAAATTCGCCATTTAGTTTTGAAATTGTGAATTCAGAATTTAAATTCCGCATTGAATAGAATTGATTAATAGATGAATTAGGGGAAAAAATCCTTTCAAATAGATTTGAATTTTGGGTAAAAGAAAAAAATAAAATGTTTTTGTTAATGCCAAATATTTAACTCCTTACATTGAATTTACATAAAAATTTTTTTTCCAATTGACAAATACAGTACTGAATATAAATTGAAAGTAGATTGAGTAATCAAATTCACTAAAAAAGAACATTAATTGCTTAATCGAGAAAAAAAAGTGAAATGTAAATAAAATTTGCAAAGTAAATGATTCTGATTTAGTTTCAAAATGTGTTTTAAGGAATTAGGAAGATTATAAAGTAGAATAATAGTTAATTTATTTTTTCTAATGAGATTTTTCTCAATATATTATTAAAGGTGTTTCATGTATTGAAACATATATGTATATAGATATAGAAATATACGAACAGTGCAGATAACTTGATAAAGTATTACGTATAAGCGTAGGTAGTAGATTGGTAGGTATTGAATAGGTAGGTAGATAGGTAGGTTGTTAGGTAGGTAGGTAAGATAGTTAGGTATATTAGTGAGCAAGTTAGGAGGCGTGCCTATTTATACAGGTGATATCATCACTGATTAACCTGCACTTTTAATCGAATTAAAATTTTTTTTATTGCGTCGCTTTTAGGAAAAAAAATATTTGACAATTCGAATTAATTTTTAAAAAGGTAATTAAAAATTATTTCTTATAGGAAAGAATAAATTTCGAAAACTTGTAATTTACTGGACTATTTTCAAATAATAATTCCAGTTTGAATTTTTATTTTTTTTTCATAAGTAGTAATATATCTGTCTACAAAATTAGACTCCCACGTAATATGAGAAATTGGTAGAAGCGCCGCACAGGAGTTTTGGCGCACGCTTAATGTATTTTTCATCGTCGCGCGGTGAATTGCTCTCAACTTCTTCGTGCAAATGGGGATTGTACACACAACATTCGTATTCGGATACAGCACTCTTATACCAAGTCTTAACGACCTCGACCGCCATATCGGTAGTTGGTAATACCGTCTTTGAAAAATCTTATTAGGGCCGAGACGAAAACTCGTCTTTCAAACGCGGTTACCCGTTAATCGCAACTTACCTCGTTCAAATTAATTAAGCGAAAGAAAAGCAGCATCGTAACTTTTGCTTTCTACAAAGTCATAAATTTCCCTTGCTTTTTTTTTTTTTTTTGAAAAGACAATTTATGAAAAAAATTATGATTTAAAAATAATTTTTTATTTATAAAGAATAATTCCAAAAGTTTACTTTTTATAAATGGATACATTTTTTTTTTAACTATATATATTAAAATGCGTAACTTCATTCTGACTTGAACTCGGACTTTTAATCCGGTTCGCCCACGAAAACTTAGAATCTCTCGCCATTGAAATATACATGCATCAATAACAAACAGTTTTATTTATACTTGTGACACAATAATTTTGTTTTTTTGCTTTGTGAAATTTTTTTTCGCACGTAGACACAAAATTTACGAATATATAATAATATTCATGCCGTACATGAGTTTCTCTTGTTAATTATTTTTGTATATATATATGTATATATATTTATGTAGTATTGAAACAAAAATTTTTTAATTTATATGGCCGAACAAACGTGATTTTAAAACGTAACACACGTGAAAGCGTATCAACTTAATCTGAAACAAACATAATCTCAGCATGTACTTAATTTCAAGTGTTGAGCAAATTGAAAAAAAAAATTTGCAATTTGCATGTTATATGTGCGATAATTGACAGTGTCGTTTATTAGTTGTTAAGGAGATTAAATGAAAGTTTTTCAAAAGAATTTATAAAAAAAAAAAATTTACAGATAAAAATTTTTATTTTCGGAAATATTTTTTTTAAAAGGCGCTTTTGTTAAATATTAATTTTTTTTATTATAATTAAATTAATTTGCAAATATTTTGAAATGATTTTACAGGATATATATTTAAAAGGTCAATATATATCTTGCGAAATAAAAATTTCTCATATTATTTTCACGCACAATTTGCTATTGATGTACGATTCGCGAATCTTAATACGATACGTGTATCACTAGGGTAGTAACAAAGCTTAAGCGCCCGTTGCGGAAGTACTTCTTCCTCTTTGGCGAGTTTGCAATAACGGCACTCATCCTTTCGGAAGGACGTGCCAGTTGAGATTTCGTGATATTATTCAATTTTTCCATCCCTTTGTGATTTTATCTTCGCTATGATTTTTTTTTTAATTTTACTAAATTATTTACATTAAAAAGTATCTCAAAATCAGGTAGTTGAAAAAAATTGTTTTAATTTAATTTTTAATTAAAATTCTATACATTGAAAAAGAATTATATTTGATTTATTTAATTTTATTTACGTCAAATAAATCGGCTAATAGGTTCGGAGAAATATATACATTTATTTAATTCAAATATATTATATTTTGTTCAAATAAAACATTTCTCTGGGTGTGACTGTTATCAAATAAATATTTATTTGAGTCAATTAAATATTTGTTTTTAAATACATAAATTATTGGTTCAAATAAAATTCAATTATTTGGATTTTAAATATTATTTGGTTCAAAGAAATATTTTATTCAAATACAGAAATTATTGGTTCAAATAAAATTCAATTATTTGGTTTCAAAAATTATTTGGTTCCAAAAATTATTTGGTTCAAAGAAATATTTTATTCAAATACAGAAATTATTGGTTCAAATAAAGTTCAGTTATTTGGTTTCAAAAATTATTTGGTTCAAAGAAATATTTTATTCAAATACAGAAATTATTGGTTCAAATAAAATTCAATTATTTGGTTTCAAAAATTATTTGGTTCCAAAAATTATTTGGTTCAAAGAAATATTTTATTCAAATACAGAAATTATTGGTTCAAATAAAGTTCAGTTATTTGGTTTCAAAAATTATTTGGTTCAAAGAAATATTTTATTCAAATACAGAAATTATTGGTTCAAATAAAATTCAATTATTTGGTTTCAAAAATTATTTGGTTCCAAAAATTATTTGGTTCAAGTAAATATTTTATTCAAATACAAAAATTATGGATTCGAATAAAGTTCAATTATTTGGTTTCAAAAATTATTTAATTCAAGTAAATATTTATTTGATAATAGTCAAGTAACCGATTATTTGAATCAAGTAAATTATTTTTTTTCAGTGTTGTCATTGAAATTACGGAGAATTGTTCAAGAACTAAAATAACTTTCACTTCTTTCAATTCTTGTGCCTTTTTGGTCTAATTTTAAGTTTCGTTAAATTTTTTATAGCCCATCAAAAATAATTAAAGAAAAAAAAAAGTAATAAAAAAAATTATTTTCTAAAATCATTTTGTTTAAAAGAAAAGATGTTTTCGTAAAAAAAAATTTTTTGTTATCTCGTATTGCGAATTCGATAATTTTAACGTTACATTGAACTATAAAAACAAAAAAAAAGTTGAATATATATACGTGCTTTCGTTTATAAATGGAATAGAATGTTACATTAAAATTCAGAGTTAGTTGATGCTATAGACGGACGGCAATGACAAGAGGAAGGAAGTTATGATGGTTAGTATTCAAGCCTTGTTGATTAAGTGAAAGAAAGGATGCATGGTCTCTGACAGTTGTTTAGGAAAAGGATTTAGAATAAGAAGATAGAATTGAATCGACTTCTATTAAAGAAACATCTATTCCAAATACATTTGCAATCCACTGCGATTTGAATTGAACAATTTATTTTAATTTTCAAAGCCGTTGTCTTTTTCATGAAACTGTTGTGTATACGCCTTTAATGAAACAGTAGCGGTACATTTTGAGATATGAATTTTGTTTTTAAAAATTCTTCTGCTAATTTAAACTCATCAAGATTGGGAATATTGGGGGAAAATTTTCTTCATATATAATACCGTAGCTAAAGAGTTGAAAAAAAAAAAAAAAAAAAATCAAGTGTCGCATCTCCATATATACATATACAGCTCTTTATACCTCGTATATCGCGACGTTGTGTCGTTTCGTTTCGCATCTCCTTTAACTCGTGGCAATTTCGCGCTAATAGCCTCCCGTGGTATAAATAATTAGAGTCGTGTTGCGCAGG